ACAAATCTTGTAGCTTATACTTCCATTCATTGAAAACAGTGTTAAATTTATATCCTCTTTATTGATGTCATGGTTGTGTATCAGAAGATATTGTCATGTGCTGGTTGTATAATTTTAGAATCATTTAGGTTGGAAAAGAACTTCGACATCATTGAGTCCAACCATTTACTCAGCACTACCAAGTCCACCACTAAACTGTGTCCCTAAGCACCATGTCTACACACCTTTTAAGTACCTCCAGGGATGGTGACTCTGCCACTTCCCTGGGCTGCCTGTTCCCATGCCTGATAACCCTGGATTCAGAAATTTAATTGTTTATATGATGATATCTTTCTCAATTGCAGAAAGTGTATGTTAGTTATTAAAAATACTTTGTTAAAATGAGGTCAGACAAAGAGTAAGTTTTCAAAACACAACAACAAAAGTACCAATGTGAGTCAAAATGACAGTGTAAGACTAGCAAATGAAGGCGCTCTGATGAATACTATGCCAAGCATTCTTGATTTTTGTTTTGAGCTATTGTGTGTCGTGACACAACTCTGGCTTTGTGCACTACTTCCATGAATATTAGCAAGCCCTAAAGGGTTCATAAAGAGTTTTAAGAGGAGAAAACTGTGGTAAAAATGTCTGATGCTCTTAATGTGTTTGTTTTGCCTAGAGGCAGATTTAAAGTTGTACAAGTACAGGTCATTGGAAACTGTTCTATTTTTTAGATTTTCTTTTCTTAAGGTTTTTAACACTTTATTGTTTTAATAACATTGTTACTAAGAAACTCATAGGCAGGAATGTCATTTTAGCAATTCTTGTTTCTTAACAAGAACTCTCTTGTTTAGCAGTTCTTGTTTCATTTTAGCAGTTCTGTTTCTAAATGGTTCTACTTTTTATTAGGGCTCAGATCTAGGAAACTTGTTATGTTAGGTATAATAGATTTCCAAATATGGGTGTTTAAAGAAGCTTCAGTCCTAAGTGCTCCACAGCCACATGGTATGAGTTTTTGTGCCCTCCTTATGGAAGACTTTAGCTATCAAGTTCTGTTTTTTTCTTGTTGAAGACCTTCACCTTCAGTTCAACTGAGCTTGGGCAAAGGGACTGCATAGGGAGCTGGATAGCAGTTGCTAAAAGCAATGTAGTTAAAACTATAAAAGAAAGCTAACCAGGTTCTACCATATGATAGAGTAAAAACTGTTCTTTTTAGAAGAGAGTCTTCTAAGAGCTGTAACAAAAGTGTAAATGAGTCTCTGATACTAGAAATGGCAAAATAGGAAGGGGCTGAAGAGATATGACTCTTGTCTTAGGTTAGACATATAGTTTTCATTCTTAATTTACATTGTTGAGCAATTTAAGGAAGGCTTCATATTTACCCTCTGCTGTTAACAGAGGTTTGGAGCTCTTGGGCAATGTGGGAGTGGACAGAGTTATGGAAACATGATCCCTTTGCATATACAGCAGAAGGTGGTACCATACAAATTTCTTTAGAGATGAGAAGCAAAATGGAGAAGTGGGACTTGATAGACCTAGTAGGGATTAGTACACATCCGCTCTGACTTTAAATGTCTTAAAGAAACTTGCTCAAGGGAAGTAAATTTGACTGCTGGTATGGGGATTGTTGTGCATGGTTTTTTGAGAGCATCATCCCTGTGTTCAGCCTTGGTTAAAGTCAACTAGTGCACAAGAGCAGGGAGCACCCAATGTCATACAAGCATATGCAACTTCAAAGGGAAGGTGTTTTTTTGGTTGTATTAGTTTGTTTTTTGGTTTTGTTTCTTCTCCCCCAACATGGAATTTATTGTAAGGATGTTGCAGTATCCAAAACTATGACTAGGTTCTAAAAGGGGTTAGATCACCTCCTAGAGGATAGGTCTGTTGGTTCTCTACCAAACATGAGCGTCTGGATGCAACTGCTGCTCAGGAAGTCCTTTGTTATATGACTTCTGAGAATTGATAAAGCATGCTAGGAAACATTTACTTGTTTCGTGTCTAAGTTCTTTCTCAGTCATTACCAAGATCTGTAAGACACAGCATTGGACTAGCTAGACTTTGGTGTATTCTTGTGCTCCTGGGTAACTTGCTTGTCTGAATCACTCCTGGGTTCTGTCCTGAAAGGAGACCTGAAAGAGCCTAGAACCTTGGAAGGGGGTAACAACTCAGTACTTTGGATGTGTGATTTGATATGTAGCATAACTTTTTCTGCTGGAGTAATCTGAATTATTGATCTGGAACCAACTTTTCTTCTGTCTGGCTCAGCAATCCACCTCTTTTTTTCCACAATATGTTGCCTTGGCATCAGCAGTTTTTAAAGTACATTGAATGCAAAAGAAAGCTGTTGGTGTGGACATTTGCATTAGCTCAGCTTAGGACAATTTCCACATAAGTTGATTCCTGCCTCTTATTGGTGGGAATGCATCACAGAGCTACCCTTATCCCTGTGGTCCCTACTGTCCTTTGTGTCTTCTGACATTACTGACTCAGCCCCTTCCACAAACTCTCCCAAACTGCTACCAGAATAATAAACAGTGCTACCTGAAAGACTTTAGTCATTAGTTGTCCTGCCGATACTTAAGCAGCTGTTTGAAAACTATTTCCTTGTGCTGTCCAGGGAGTGCCTAGCCACTGACTCTGGCAGAAGGGATCTGCCACCATTATGGTTAGAAGTTTGGGAGGTGGGAATTAAAAACAAAACCCTTTGAAGAAGACAGTATCATGTCCTTTTTGCTTATGCACATGTAACATATTGTCAAATCTGTAAATGTTTTTAGGAGTTATCTCATGAACCAAGAGCTTCCTTTCAGCCACAGAGATATCTCCAGAGACACTAAGAGAAATTGCATCTGTCATCTAAACTACCTTCCTGATGATAATAATATAATAATAACAATGATAATAAAATAATAATAACAGCTACCAAAAAAGCAGACCCTTTCTTCAGTTTGCCTATAACTTGAGTGTATCTTCATGTTCTCCCACAGACACCAGGAAATATTCTATTGAGAGCATTTTGATTTCTCTGTTTCCTGTTTTCTTCTACTCTATGAGGCTTCCTTGAATGATTTGAGTCCATGAGAAGCTACTGCAGCCCCACAGCCCACAGTTTTATTTTGTGAATGCTGTTCCCAGCCACAATCTGGCACACTGATTACTTTTTATGTTTTTGGTACACTGGCTGGCTTTTATTTTCCTTCAAAGTCTAGCTGCTGCTGATAGATTTGACCAAAGCAAATGGGGCTGGGTAGGCTTTAAACTAATTTACTCATCTAAGAATGAACTTGTTCAAAGAAAACATTTATTACCTCATGGGCTCTCTGGATCATGGATCGTGAGACCTTCCAAGTGTCCTTTCAGGAGGGAAATAGCTAAGAGCTTCAGAACTTGAGAGGTAGGCAAGACAGGATAGAAGCCCTGGTTGTTTCAGTTGATGGGGATTCCTTGAGGAGGGAATTGGGGTGGAGAAAGTGAATTCAATCCTTCACAAAGAGTGCTTCTGTCATATTCTTCCATGTCACATAATACATGGATAAAACCTGTTGGAAGAAGAAAAAGCAAGGACTAGTGTGCTAGTTTAAAGGTAAACCAGCAGGAGAAATGAACCCAACTCAAAAGAGACCACAAGTCAGAGTTACAATTTAATAAAAAATAATACAATAATACAATTATATGGACAAGCAATTGGTTTTAACCTACAAAACCCAGATGTATAACCCAGCACCCTGGGGCACGAACAGAGTGGTGTTTGTTGGCCCCCGTGCTGAGCCCCACATGGTCCTGAGTCCAAAGTAAAAGGAGGGGGGAAAACCTGTTGGTGAGAGTGCTGGTCACAGTCTAGACATGACCCCTCAGGCTGGGTGTGGAAGTGCTAATGACTCCCTGGAGGGGAGTTAACATCACCCATAACTATAGCCTGAGGGGGTCAGGTGTGCTTTGGGCAGCTGCTGCAAATAGTCTATTGTTAACAGTTCCTGGGAAATGACATAGGGGGTATGGAATACACAGTTTGAGTTAAACCCACACAGTGATGAACTGCTCCCGGCTGCTCTAACTAGGACAACTAAACAGCTGTAGCCAGAAGCATAAAACCTGTGAAAGCCAAGGCCATGTTCTGCAACAAAATCAAGGCAAACTGTTGTACAGAGCCCTAACCCCATTTCATTGCTTGTTTGTCTGTGTCTGTTGCTCTAGTATCTGAAAAATGCCCTGTTCTTTAATCTAGATAGCATGATCTTGTCACTTAATCTATGCAAAGCCAAAGAGAGTTAACTGCTGAAGGCTGTCTACTCCCTTTTGGTTTTGTATCTGCATGTTCTTTTGTGTTTGTTTTTTTTTTTTTAGTGGAAGTACAATACAGTAAATTATGAAATGGATTGTTGAGATAGCTGTGGCACCTCTGTGAGAGCCAGTTTGACTTGCTTTGAGCATCTGACTCCACTGCACAACTTTGCTTCTTCTCTGCTCCTCTTCTGCCTCTCCAGCTGAAGGATTGATCAGCTGGAGAGCAATGGGAGCAGGACAGGCTGCAGCACAGATGCATGGCAGAGATTTTTCTCCCTAAACAGGTGCTCAGCCTCAGTGGATGAGGCAAGTTAAAGTGACAAAAGCACTCTCCTGAATTTGGATGCTTGCCAGGAGACCAATGCTACTAGGGAAGTCTGCCATGCTCCAAGTAGCTGTTCTGTCAGACTTGGAAGAGAGTTGTGCTCCCTTCTCTGAAAGGACTGCCTCAAGGAATGGGGTAAAGTACAGGAGGTTTGACCTGACGTAATCACAGTGAGGCATCACTTCTAAAACAGCTACATGATGGAACAGTAAATCACATTGATGTGTATGTTTTACAAAACTGCATTCTAATATTTTGCTTTGTACTTCTTGGTGCATCAGCAACTTATGATGAAATCTGAAGAGGAGATAATTGGTCTTTTTAAACTTGTGAATCCTGAAACCAGCTGTGTTTTCAGTGTTGTCTACTCCAATTGCATAGTTATAATATTTTTCTCTTTTTATTTTGGAAGGTAAGGAATGAAGAAGACTTTATTAAGAAACTGGACTGCAGTCCTGACCAGCATCTAAAGGTGGTGTCCATCTTTGGGAACACGGGGGATGGCAAGTCTCACACCCTTAACCACACTTTCTTCTATGGCCGGGAAGTCTTCAAGACGTCTCCAGCCCAAGAGTCTTGCACAGTTGGTGTCTGGGCAGCCTATGACCCTGTCCGCAAAGTGGTGGTAATTGATACAGAGGGCCTCCTGGGGGCCACTGTGAACCTGAGCCAGAGAACACGGCTGCTGCTGAAGGTCCTGGCCATCTCTGACCTTGTCATCTATCGTACTCGTGCTGACAGGCTCCACAATGATCTCTTCAAATTCCTTGGTGATGCCTCGGAGGCTTATTTAAAACATTTCACTAAGGAGCTAAAAGCTACCACAGCCCGTTGTGGCCTAGATGTTCCTCTCTCAACTTTGGGTCCAGGTGTCATCATCTTTCACGAGACTGTGTACACCAAACTACTGGGCTCTGGTGAGTAGGCAGTAAGAAACTGAATTGCAATGTGCTAAACACTGTCTAGAAATTATCAGGTTGCATTGAACATTCAGCATTCTTTACTACCATGTAAAGGTATGATTCGCGTTTTGCTCTCACTTGTTTAAGTCTGGGAACCAGGCTGTGGAACTACAAGAGCATTTCCTGTTGGTGATCTGGCTATTCCAGATCAGCTAGAATAATCCTCTTAGCCAGCTGTACATCAGCACTGACTAGTCATGAGTTCTGCCAGCCATAGGAGGGGACATCATACAAAATCACGAATATGGGTGATATAGCAGAGGAAGGCGAAAAGTGATGTGGTGGGTTGACCCTGGGTGGATGCCAGGCACCCACCAAAGCCGCTCTATCACTCCCCTCCACAACTGGACAGGGGAGAGAATATAATGAAAGGCTCATGAGTTGAGATAAGGACAGGGAGAGATCACTCACCAAATACTATCATGGGCAAAACAGACTCAGCTTGGAGATATTAATTGCGTTTATTACCAATAAAATTAGAACAGGATAATGAGAAGTAAAATAAATCTTGAAAACGCCTTCTCCCCACCCCTCTCTCCTTCCCAAGTTCCACCTTCTCCCCCACCCCTGCAGCATAAGGAGATGAGGAATGGGGGTTACGGTCAGTCCATCCCAGGTTGTTCCCACTGCTGCTCAGGGAGAAGAGTCCTTCCCTTGCTCCAGCGTGGGACTGTCCCTCCCATAGGAGACAGTCCTTCATGAACTTCTCCAACATGAGTCCATCCCATGGGCAACAGTTCTCCATGAACTGCTCCAGGGTGCGTCACTCTTCCAGGGGATGCAGTTCTTCAGGCACAGGCTGCTCCAGTATGGGTTCCCCACAGGCTTGTAAGTCCTACCAGGAAAACTTGCTCCAGCGTGGGCTCTTCTGTCCATGGGTCAGCAGGTCCTTGCCAGGACCCTGCTCTAGCATGGGTTTCCCACAGGTTCACAGCCCTCCTTCAGGCATCCACCTGCTCCAGCATGGGTCTCCTCCACAGGCTGCAGGTGGATCTCTGCATCCCCATGGTCCCCTGTGGGCTGCAGGGGCACAGCTGCTTCATCATGGTCTGCACCACGGGCTGCAGGGAACCTCAGCTCTGGTGCCTGGAGCACCTCCTGCCCCTCCTTCTCCACTGACCTTGGTGTCTGCAGAGTTGTTCACATGTTCTCACTCTGCACTTCTCTGGCTGCAATTACATCTGCACAATAACTTTTTTCCTTCTTAAATATGTTATCACAGAGGTGTTAATATCATCCCTAATTAGTCTGGCCTTAGACAGCAGAAGGTCCGTCCTGGAGTTGCCTGACATTGGCTCTGCCAGACATGGGGCAGCAATTTCTCACAGAAACCACCCCCGTAGCCCCCCTGCTACCAAAACCTGGCCACACAAACCCAGCACAACTGAGATACCCTGGGATTTTGGCAAGGATATGTACTACCCTGTTGCAAATAAAACAAGGATAAAATTCTGTGTAGAAACTAGGAGGAGCAAGAATAATGACTTCGATGAATGTCACTCTACTTTTTTTAATTCTGTGGACCAACATCATTCTGAGGCTGACGTGAGGTCAGGACTGAGTTTGTGCTGGCACAGAGCTGATGATTTGACACCACTTCTCTCTGTGCAGGTATCTAATACGGCCAAAGGAGCAGACCTGGCACACTATTACTCCCACCAATTTCAGTGTTCTTCACCAGTACTTTTAACTTGGCTCATGTAACATTTGACTATTTGTATTTAATTTCTGTATTTTATTTGTATGTCTGAGTGAAATGCACTGTCCTGTGGAAGTCATGGCATGTTTTGGTTTTGACTATACAGGGATCTAAATTTCTTCTCTTTTTTTGCATGTTTCAAAAGGTATGATGAAACCTTTCTTAATTTGGTCCATTTCTGATGTTCTGATAAACAAGATCCATGATGAATTGGCCTGCAACAGCTGAGGCTCAGTCCTGCTATCTGTGAACATATAGGAGACTTCTGTTGTGTAATACCACAGCGGTCCTGGCTGACCCACATTCTCATTTGGGCTTTTCTAACCAGTGAGGTCTTGAGCTAGCAGAAGAACTTGACATTCTTTCTGGTTATTATTAGAGTAACCTCTTAATAACTTTTAACTTACTTACAAGGCAGTTCCTTTTCTTACATACCAGTTTGCTGATTAGCAGTTCAGAGTTTCATATAGTTGTTGACATTTACTGTTTCAACAGGTCAGCCTTTAGTGAGGACACTTTGCACCTGTATGCAAAGTCAGGGTAGGAAAAAAATTATATTTTTGTGATCACTGCTGGTCACAGTAGGAATAGGAAAGAAACCACTTAGCATGTGGATACGCAGAAAGCTGTAACCATCTGTCTCAATGGATAACTGAGATAAGTGTGTTTATATAGTTTTAGGGCAGGGAAGAAAGGGCCTGCCTTATTCTGAAATGTACAGCAGGTACTTGGAAGCAGGCAGAAGAATGCAGTTGGCTCTGTGGAGTCTGACCTGATGTGACCAGCTCTGAAGTGCTTTTCCACGTACAAATGGTTGATAAAGGCTTGGTCTTCCTTGCTACAGTACTGGCATGGAGAACAAGCAATCCATGTAAGGTTCATGTCCTCCAGGTGCTCGTACTAGCTATACCAAATTATGATCTGGTGAGAAGAACTAATAAGTGTGCTGACATGATGTTGCCTTGTATTATGTCCTAAATTGCTCCTTAATCTGCATATCTGTTTGGAAACTTACATGTCTCTGATTTTACCTGAGGAACTTGGTCTTAGAATCTAAAGCTTTGTGTCACAAAGCAGAGGCTGCTTTTGGAAACTGTTTCTTTTCTTTATTTTAAAATACAATGATAACTGCATTCCAGATGTATTAGAAGATTCGATTAAGGAAACTAGAACTATATTGCATATGAAAGCACTATGCCATTTAAATATTATTTTGAACAGTCAGTTGTTTATGTACTTGCTGATACTCTTATGTATAGATCATCCTTCTGAGGTTCCTGAGAAGCTCATTCAGGATCGGTTTCGGAAGCTAAGCTGTTTTCCTGAGGCTTTCAGCTCAATTCACTACAAGGGAACAAGGACATACAATCCTCCAACAGATTTCTCTGGGCTTAGGCGAGCTGTGGAGCAGCAGCTGGAGAACAATACTACTCGGTCACCTAGGCAGCCTGGGGTTATCTACAAAGCACTAAAAGTAAGTGGAGAAGAGTTTGTCACAGTCTTTATTTGTATCACTGTTGCTAGTAACTCAATTGCAGCTCATAAAGGTAGAGCACATGAACCACTGATGCAGATAGCAGGTGTCTGGATAAAGCAAGTCTTCCATGAAGATGATAATTTTGTGTAACAGCCAAGGAGGCTGGGTAGTTTTTGTTCTTCTTACTTGAAAACTAACAAGCACCTTAGTAAAGACCATGAAAGGTCAAGAAAAGTTGTAGAGCAAAACTAAGCAAAATCAAAAAACTGAGCTGGGAAGAAAAAAGTAACTGGGGCTGTGAGTAACAAGCACTTAGTGATTTACAAAGAGAAGGCTCAGAAGGAGTTTTTTTTATGAAATTCCTAAAGATGGCCTCAGCACAAGAGGAGAAAACGCAAGATATTTGGAGGGAGTTAATAGTTGGCAAAACCTAGCACTGAATTTAGCGTAACCCAAGGCCTAGGAGATGTGCTGGTAGCTAGGGAACAGGATGGGATAAAGCCAAATGATGTATTACTTCAGAATGAGTGGTCTTCTTAGTTCACTTTGCTAGGGTGTCAGAGGGATTTTGGGGGCTTTAAATTTGCAGTCTTTCTACAAGTTTCCACTTGTATTGCTACCACTACCTGATTAACATCATATTTTCTTTGGCCTGAAGAGCACAGCTGTCATCAGGGAGGGGCAGGCAGAGCTGGGGCATATCTGCAGAAGAAGGTAGTGCTAGCAGTCTTTTCTGATGTTAGTCACAGCTGTTGGAACAGATAATTCTGTCTGCTCTGTATTTGTGGTAGCTGAAGCACTGGAAGTATCAGGGTGGCATGTATGCATTAGGGAGCAGACAGGCAGCAAGGGGAAAACAGCTGGAGTGGTTAATTTCAGTTTAATTTCTAGGACTTTATCGCAATAGTGAAGTAATCTGGTTTCAGATATAGATGCTAATATACTTAAATTCATGTCCAGTAGAGTGTTTGCTGTGTTAAGATCACTACTGACAAATTAACTTTTTTTGCTTCACTTATTGAGGACATAAGGCTTCCTAGAGATCTATGTCCACTTCCTCTAATTTTTAAATTCATTGTCCAGTATCAGTCAAGCTTGAAAGAGAATGTAAAGCCAATTTCCTTGAAATAATGTGAAATCAAATGTCTACATAGAGATCTTATCTGAGGGAAGTTATGATGAGAGAGATACACACACGTCTGCTGCAGCCAACCCTTTTTAGGACAGCAGAGGTGCACCCACTCCACCCACCCCCAACCCTGTGAGGGAGAGGAAGGAAGAGAAAGGCAGACAGCCACTATATTAACCTCACCTGTAGTAAGAGTTTCAGTTAGACCTCATGCCTTCAGAGATGTCCATCAAGAAAAGCTTTAACCATTTGCTTCGTTCCAGTGCTTGCTTTTTTTTTTTTTTTTCCTAATCATAACACCCAAAAGAACTGGAAAAGGTAATTATGCCAACGCTAAGGACTGATTAATCTGAGAATAGATGTTTCCAGGAAAGGGTACAAATCCCTTTGTCTCAGTTTTGCAGTTTCACCGGAGAAGAGCAGTTGTTGAGTGGGCAGAGGAAAGCTCAGGGCAGCACTTTCTGAGCTGAGAGGCAAAGAATGTGTCCTCATGTACTGTGAGAAATGATCCTCTGAGTTTCCTTTGTGAGGTTTCCAGAATGCAAAGCCCTTTTAGCAAGAGCCCTACTATTCTGGGCACAGATTGTATGCACAGAGGTGGATGTAATCTTTCACCCATTTCTGCTACAAAATTCAAAGCAGGGAGAGGAGGAGAGGAGAAGAGTATCTTACAAGTAATCAGGTCACTTTCCAACAAGTGCAAGACTGTCTTCTTTGTTGGTTTTCAGTCCTTGTCTTGGTTTCCAGGTTAGTAAGACAGACATTATTTGTTAGCTGTGTACTCTCTTTGCCTCTCCCTCCAGTAGAGGAATCCATGCTTTTGCTTGCAAAAGCTTGCATAAAATGTCTTCATTGCTCTCCATCCCTTACCAGTTCATTCTTTTCTGCTTTGACAGGCTCTAAGTGACCGGTTCAGTGGGGAGATCCCTGATGACCAGATGGCTCACAGCTCTTTCTTTCCAGATGAATATTTCACATGCTCCTCTGTGTGCCTCAGCTGTGGGTAAGTGGATGAGAAATGCTTCTCCATCCTTCTAGAGAATAGTGCTGCTCTGGTCTGCAGCCACAGAACGTAAAGTTTCTGTGACATCTTGACAGCTGACATCACCTATCATCACCTAGTACTTCCAGGCAGAATTATCTTGAAATTCAACTCTTATGTAAATTGGATGACTGTTATTGCTGCACCCCAGCTGGATGCATGGTTTTTACCTACTCTATTTTTGTGCATGGCTACAAACCTGTGCTGCCCATATCTTTTCCCAAATGCAAGCGGGGCAGGAAGAAAGGAGTGCCTAAATAAATCCCTTGAAATTTCCTGTGTTTTTTTCCTGACATTTTTGTTACCTAAATGGTATAAACAGTCCTAAAGCATACATCATGGCTGGCCACTGTGTTCAGTGACCATGTCTAAGTGGAGCTCCAGATTTGATTAGACCTTGGCTTGTAGCTCTCTGGGAAGAGCCCCAAGATTGAACCTGGAAGGGCAGTAGATGGCAGTCAGTGGTCTGAGTCTGTGAGGTGTATAGCAGCATGATGTTATGGCTGGTTATGCTTCTGGAAGCATTTCCTCTCAAATGTAATATAGTGCTATGTTTCTACTCTCTTATGTTCATTAGAGAATTTCCAGCAATTCCTTGCAAAGGCTGCACTGTTAAGTCCATTGTAGTCAATTTCCAAACTTGTTTAGTCCTTCCCAAAATAATCTCTGAAATTTAAATTTGCTACAGCGATCATTTTCTGCAGTGAACTGTTGTTAGTGCTGCTTTGTATGTGAAACAGTTGCTACACCTCCTTCTGAAAAGCCTGCCTTTCAATGATAAATGTTGTCATTGCTGTATGTACAGTTGTGGAAATGGTTTGAGGGTACAGCATCTGTATAAGTGCTGAAATCTTGGTGACATCTGTCCTGTATCTAACAGTGACAACTCCGGGTTTGCTTTTGCATACTCAGGTGTGGCTGTAAGAGGAGCATGAACCATGCAAAGGAAGGAGTCCCTCATGAATCCAAAAGTCGATGCAGATATTCTCACCAGTATGATAACAGAGTCTACACTTGCAAGGTGAGTAGCGATACAAGGACAAGATCTGAAGAGTGAGAAAGGAAAGTATGACCCAGTATATGAGGAATATCATAGGCATGTACCTGTTTTCTTCCATTTTTTTTCAAAATGTCAGAGGTGCTCATGGCCTTGACAAGAAAAATTGATCCTCGTTCAACTTGTATGTTTGCTGGGAGAGGTTATCAATTCTCTGTGCTGTGTCTCATTTTTCTAGCTAAACCGTGAAGCCAGCTGCTCTTAACTTGAGTAATGCTGACCTTCTACATATTTGATGTGGCTACTCTTCCTATTTCCTTATGCCCATTGCTTGGTATTAGCCAATTTTTCTGAAGGATATGTGCAGGAGACAGGGAAATTTTTGTCTACCATCATGGTCTTTATTGATATAGAAATATTTCCCTGATGTCATTATTAACTGTAGTTTTGCTTTGTTATAAATCAGTTCCGATGAGTGCTCCTTTGCTGTGGAGACCCCTGTATCTTAATTATATGCTTTAGGTGTCCAAACTAAGCTGCCAGATCCACATTTGGATTCTCAAGAATGCAGTTTTAGTTGAGCCTTTATTTTACAGGCCTGTTATGAACGAGGGATGGAGGTCAGTGTGGTGCCAAAAACCTCTGCTTCCACAGACTCTCCTTGGCTGGGCCTTGCCAAGTATGCCTGGTCGGGGTGAGTACTGCAGCTGAGATCTCTCTGCTCCCTGTTGCCTCTAAGCTACCTGGTGCACTGGACCTCCAGTGCTTTCAGGTTACCACTGAGGTAACCTGTCTTCCTCTTCTGCAGATATGTGATTGAGTGCCCCAACTGTGGGGTGGTGTACCGTAGCCGGCAGTACTGGTTTGGCAACCAAGATCCTGTGAACACTGTGGTGAGGACAGAAATTGAGCACGTCTGGCCAGGGGTAAGTCTGGTTGCTGGGTAGTCTTTGTGCATGTGGGCAGCCGTGTTAATTTGGTTCTTCTGGATGTTGATGGAGAAAATTGATTGGCTTTCATTACAGCTGTTCCCTGTCTCTGCTCTTCAAAAGAACCTTTGCAAGGCCTCCAGTCATCTTTTGGCTATCTTGAAATGCCTAAGATGCCAGTGTATGAACACTTTGTGTTTATGGACCTACCCCCCTGTTTCAAAGCATGGCTGATGAATTTTTTTCTTCTGATTGCCCTCCAGTTTAAGAGGAGCAATGGGTTGCAGAGCCATCTGCATCTAAAAAACCCCAAAGATTTCCTTTTTTTTATTCTCAAGTAAATATCCGTTTCTTTCCAGACTGATGGATTTCTGAAAGACAACAACAATGCAGCTCAGCGTTTGCTGGATGGCATGAATTTCATGGCTCAATCAGTATCTGAACTTAGCCTGGGACCCACAAAAGCTGTGACCTCCTGGTTGACAGACCAGATTGCCCCAGCTTACTGGAGACCCAATTCTCAGATCCTGGTAAATAGCAGCTGCTATAGAGAAAGGCTTCGTATAACTAAAACCCCTTTTCCTTACCCTTTAAGTAATACGGGACTTTGCAGATTCCAAATGTTTCTTGTTTTACTGCAACAATCCTTTCTCCTACAATTCTGAGAAAACTGAAATGTTTTCTCCTCTTCCCATTCTTGACTTATCCAGAGAAAGTATGAACAGAGAGTTGGCCCAGCCCTGCTAGAGAGACTGTTTCTCCCTACTCTTTGTGAGCTCCTCACCCAGCAATATCACAGAAACCCCTGGCTTGCATGAACTGTCTTTTCAAAGCGAAGAAACAACATATTAAGTCTGACTATTGCAGTTGATAGTACTATTTTTGTGGGTGCAGATGTTAAACTCTGGTTTCATACCAGATGCAAAAAGCATCAAGCAGTTCAAATAGGAGAAGGTTCCCTGTGTCTAGCAGGAAACAGACTCATTTTCACTCATCTTCAATGAAAACTGCCTTCTGAATTCTTACCCCCCACAAAGGTCAAACAACCACCATTCAGCCCTGCATCATGTGGCTGTGTTTATTTGTGATTGTGAATGAAGGGATCATAGCAATATATTTGCTTAACCACTGTACACCTGCCTGTCTGAATCACTTCCCCAGGGTAAAGTTATGGGGCTGGTAGGACCCAAGTCTTGTGTGTAACTATATTTTTCACAGTTTGTCTGAGACTTGGCATCCTGGGCTTCTGCTCTCTATTTTTGACTTAAGGAACATGAAACTAACAGTTTTCCTCTCTGTGTTGTTCTGATTAGAGTTGTAATAAGTGCAACACGCCTTTTAAAGATAACGACACTAAGCATCACTGCCGGGCCTGCGGAGAGGGCTTCTGTGATGGCTGTTCTTCCAAGACCCGTCCAGTGCCTGAGCGAGGCTGGGGACCAGCACCAGTGCGTGTGTGTGACAACTGCTATGAAAACAGGGGCATCCAGTTAGGTAATTTTGAGTGGATTGTGACAGAATTATCCCTGGACAACAGCCTGAAGTCTTTGCCCCTGATTTCTGGATCACAGCCATTCCCACTGAGTGTAGACAGTGTTGTTCAAACTGGGCTTCCATACAGTTTTTGGTTGAGAAGCTCAAGAGCTCAATGCCTTTTGGAAGAAAGATCTCATCTTTCAAAGAGCTACCGGGTATTTGACCCCCTGACAAAGTTACTTTCTAATTGTATCTTTACTTTGTTTTTCCAGCAGCTGCTGATGGTCTGGCACTAACATCAGAGCAGGGATGCTGCTGTTTCAGCAGACTAGTATTTTGTCCATTATTGCTAAAATGAAAACTCTGCAATTCAAGACTGGGGATGTGGGAGATAAAGGCTGAGGAGGGACTCCAACATGCCTTTTTGGGTTTGCTGCTGGTTTTTGTTAATGTAAGGCAGAAATTGTGGTGGTTGTAGGTGTTGAGCCCTTCACTCTTGTGTCATGCAGATGTGGCTGAACTGCCTTCAGATGAGGAAGGGGGGACACTTATTGCCAGGAAGGTGGGGGAAGCTGTGCAAAACACACTTGGAGCAGTGGTGACAGCCATGGACATTCCCTTAGGTGAGCTCTGTTCTGTTCTGATGGATTTTTTGCCTAAAGGCATTTTTGTGCTCAAACTGATTAAACTTCAAGAATTTTTGTGACAGGCTGGCACCTCTGCTATGCTGTCACTGTTGGTTGAGAGTTCTACAGCCCTCTCTGCCTCTTCTGCCTAATGTTTCCTCTTGGTTTTCAACGCGTTTTTTCTGCACACTTTCACACTTTCTCTTCTCCCTATTGTGCAAATCTGTGTGCACCAAGCTGTGAGTAATTCATGCTCCCCTCATGCATTCACTGCAGTGACCTGCCATGTGGAGCTCCTAAAGACTGACCAATTAGAAAGCATTTTACCAGGTTTGGTTTTCTTCCAGAGATGCTGAGTGCCTTTTAAGTGTGTTCAGATACTGCTGGCACTTGGTACTTCTGTAGGGGAGGGCTGAAAATTTAAGCTGTCCGGGTTGGTAATGATGGGGAAGTAATCAGTAATGTGATCTTTAATGGTGAGCTTGTACAGTGAACGTTTGCTGTTCTTTCATGTGCTGGGTGGCAGTTAGGTATGTCAGCAAACATTTCATATTTGAATCTTCTGTTGTTGGACCTGATTTCCTGCTCATTATGCAGATCATCATTCAACTGCTTTGCCTGCAGCATGTCCTGCTATCACTTTTGTGGATGTTTCCTCTCAGAGTCCATGAAGGGCAGAATAAATCCCTTTCTCAGTTTAGACAGGACATGCGTTTCTGTGGGGCTTTCTGGCCACACATGAAACTGAAGATAGGGAAAAGCAAGTGTCTCAACCTCTGGAAGAGTCTGAATAAGGGAAGATGCCACTATTTAAGGAGAAACAGTCTGCCCCTCTGAAGAGAGGTAGAATGTGGGAGAATGGCAGAATGCCTTAAATGGCTACCCATTGCACTAAAGTATTCTGTCAGTAGATCACCTCCCCTTAATGGCAGTAGTATGACTTGCAGTGGGTGCGTACTTCCCCTGGAGTACGTTCTTGATGTGCTTATGTTGACAGATTATTTTCTTGTCCCTCTTTCTCATCCCCCCACCTCACTTCCTCCTTAGGTCTGGTAAAAGATGCTGCCCGACCTGCATACTGGGTACCAGACCATGAAATCCTGCACTGCCACAATTGCCGGAAGGAATTCAGTATCAAACTCTCCAAACACCACTGTCGGGCCTGTGGCCAGGGATTCTGTGACGAATGCTCACACGACCGCAGAGCGGTTCCCTCTCGCGGATGGGATCACCCAGTCCGAGTTTGCTTTAACTGCAATAAAAAGCCTGGTGACCTTTAACCCCAGGCTCCTCTCCACATCTTTGCAATTCCTTATGTTCTCAGGGTTACAAATGAAAATATCTGGTCTCCCTTTCACCTTTTAACCTGTTGCAGCCAGAGTGCATGTTTCCAGTTTCTGGCCTCCTCTCGTGTTATATCCATCTTGAAACGCTGGGAATGAGCCTACGTTCAGCCTCTAGTTTTAATTTCGAATTAACTGGGAAAGGGATGGAGCTCCCTTGTAAATGAGCAAACCAAAATCCAGTGTATTTTATTTCAATTAAAAAAAAAAATATATATATCAACTATGTATACTTCAGGATATTAAGAATACGGTTGGCTAATGAAGCTTCGAGTATTCCTAGTTCAAATGATGGATGGTGTTGTTCCTTACTATATTGGATCAGACTTATGGCCTTCTAATTCTTCTTTTGGAATGTCTTGCTGATCGCGATGTCCTGTGAGGAAGGTTTGGACTCTGCTGCCAGGAAATCTCCAATGTTGATGTATGAATTACACCTGGCAATTCAACTAGTCCTACATCTGGAGGTGCTGTCCTTCTGGCCATGCAAGATTAAACTCAGATTCATGAGCAAGTTTGTTTGAACTGTGGTATGAGCAATGGTCTTGCAGTGCAAGAGGAATCAAGTTGAAATAGACCTCTTGGTAGAGACCAGTAAAGCTCTGAAAGGTAAAGCAAATCATATGACACAAGGCAAAGCATTCTGATTTTGCCATTTCAACTTTAATACCAGATCAAAAAGTAGCAGGGTCTTGCTCTCCCTGACAGTATTTTCATGTACTCAGGTTTTCTTCAAATTTCATTGTCAGATCATTGCAGTTAAAAGTTTTGTCCAGAGCAGAAGAGAACAAGTTTTGTAAGCAATTCTGAAATATGAAGTTTAAATTGTTTGGGTTGTGATGACTTTTCTTTTCCCCCACTTTTTAAGTGATCCTGTAGTCTCTGAAGCCTCTGTGTTCTCAAACGTGGTTGCATAGAAACTGCACAGATTTGACTCATCTTTCTTCTAATCGTATGAATTTACGAATCAACCTGGAAAATGGGAACCTTTCTTCTTTGCTCCTTGCAACTGGCACTCACTGGACTTCATCCTTTTATTAAAGGACTGCAATGAATTCACTGAGTTTATTATCAAAAGCACCACTTAACCTAACTTATACTGTCATGTACTGTGGATTTGTGGTTCCACTTATACAAAGTAAGAGACCATTGTGAACTAAACTGCCTAAAATGCTCCATTCTTGGCTTACATACACATGAATTCTTTCACCATGGGAGTTGCCTCCTCTTGGAGTGGCTGGAGTTTAATGCAATGTCTTGGAACTGTGGTATTTTGTCCCCAGCTTATTAAATGTGCTCTTCTGTAGATGAGTGCCCAACACCCTGTTTTAAGACTGTATTATTAAATTAACTGCTATAAAGGACTTTATCTTCCGAACAAGCGTACTGACTTTCCTTGTAACAAGTGGGTTCTCACTTTGTTTCTGAAAGAACATATTCACAAAGTGATTGCCCCTTTGCAACTACATCCAGCCTACACAAGGAAGTAGATTTAGAAGATGTTCCAGGAGACCTTCGGTACTGGCCAAGTTTACTGGGGACTGTCTCATATTTCTGTAAGCAAAAGTCCGCCATAAACTGAGAGTTGTCCAAGTGAGGATACGAGTAGGTAGAAATCCTCTTTTAAAAGACACTCTGTACATCTAGCATAATTCTGTGCTTCAAAGTATTTTTTATTTTTTTAATGGGTGAGCAATGTGTTCTTGGTTTGTAGGCTGTGCCCTGTGTGCTGTTTATGCATGTAGCTTTACTACCATGTTAATGCACAAAGAGAAAGCAGCCATGACATTCCTTGTATAAAATCTTTGGCATCTGTTTCAACAACTTGTCTGATTTTTTTTTTTCCTTGTCACAGCCAGAATTACGACTCAATCAAAAAGAAAATATTGTCTAAACATTTTTAATATATATGTGATTTTAATCACTTAGCAACCTGTCAGCATCTGAGTCCATTCCTGATTGATTATCCTGGAGCTAAATCTTTTATGCTGTTTCTCAACAAAGCAAAATCTTATGTGGTGCTTAAACTGCAGCAGGCTTGGTGTTACTCTTTATGGACAGTGTTGAGAGGTGTATTTGGGATCTCTGTTTTCCAAAATGAAAAAAAGATCTGTAAGGTTTATGTTCACTGCTGTTTTCTGTACAGAATAGCCTTTATTTTTTCTGATACTATTTGGTGCTGTGAGTGCACGATATAGGATTATGGTTATTAAATGGCTTAGCTATTTAAAAGGGTTAGATGCATATTTTAGCAGAGCCCAACGCTATTGGGTATTAACACATTAAAATTCAATAAACAAAAGAGCTCTAAAATACATCTGTGGGCAGAAAGCTCTACAGGAAACTTAAATGAAGGAAATGGAAATCATGAAAAAAAATATCACTGAAGCAATATTGTGAGCATGTTGTGCTTGGGGGGGCGGGACTGTGAGTAGAAACCTGCAAGAGTTTTATTCCTAAACTATTAGGAGAGATGTTTTGTGTGCTGAGGTATTGGTAGCATCTAACCAGAGTGAGTCTTTGGAAAACCTGTCAAAATTTAACAGCAACATTAAATTTTGCAAAAGCACAAACTGTGATTGTTTCATACTGGCAGTATGAGACAGGTCTGACATTAATGCAGCTCCTTTGTGAAAAAGTCTTGTGTATTTACAAGGGCAGCAATAGGAGGGGACTGTTTTCCAGGAAATTTTTAGATCACTGTGTGTGCTATACTGAAGAGAAATTAATTACTTACCGTGAAGTTGCAGTAGGTCAAGATGATAATGCGTCCCTTGGATCAACTGAAGTTCACTGTAATGTTAACATTTCAGAAGTTAAAATTGACACACTTACTTGGTAGGATAATGAATTCAATTGGTCTGAGATGTGACACGATAAAAGCATGTTCTGAGTTACAGATTGAAGTTGACTGATGTAAATCTCTTGGCAGAAAATTATATCAGATTGATTATTGGCACACCAAGCAGCGTCCCCACCTCTTCTTATAAGGAATGCTGTGGAAAACATCAAGTAAAATAAGAATCCTGTGATCTAACTGATGTACAAAGATGTGTGCCCCAGTGAAAAACACATTCCTCACCCAAAGCACCACAAAACAAGCCTAGACTTGTAGAGGAAAAAGCATCTGATTGCTCTGTTCTGCTGGATTTATTTCCATTGTGAGTACGTACGCCAATTCAGCATGAAGGTTCATCTTCAAATAGGTGATGTGGGTTTTTCTCTCATTCTATGAAGCAAATATATGTGAGCTTTGTATAGATGTGCACACTTTTAGTTAGGTACCCTACCCAAAACCTGTAGGCTAATCTTGGCTTAAATGTGTATCATATGCACGTTGCCCCTGAGCCTTGCAGCTGGGGAAACTGATGGCAGAACAGCACGGCTGTAACATGTAGCTATTGTCAGGGTAGGAGCAGGCTCTAATGTATGGTTACTTGCACGGGAGAAACTGCTTTGTTTTTCGCTCCCCTCTTGCCCTCCCCCATTGGTTTTCCTGTTCATTCATTCTCCTGCCCAGTTGCACGAGCTGAAGTTGGCCAAGGTATTCTCTGTGTTCCTGTGTGTGTCCCTTGTGAATTGGACCTTTGGTTGTGTCCTGGAAAACATGACAACCCTCCCTAGCTTTTGATGTCAGCAAGAGTTCTTGGAAATAAATACCATCATTATGTTAGGTTTGCCTTGTATTTATACCAGGTGTCTGTCTGCCGTGACTGTGCTGAGACACTCATAAATGCCCCTGTTGCTTTGGGAGCCTGGGCTTTAATATTGCAGGACTCTGGCTTCCCACCTGGTCATACAGACTTTCTTTTTCATATTTTTGCTTTCAGCATAACCAGTCCAATAAGGTTTAAATGCTAATATCACTCTATTTTGCAGCCTCTCATTTTCATGTTTCATTTGTCAGTCACTATAATGCCAGATATCATGGCATTGTCCTTGCATTCAGTTATTGCTGATGGCTGTAATATAATTTGGCACCAACAATTTGCCTGCTAGTAATTTGAGAACAGAGAGTGATTTGGGCAAGTGATAGAACTGTCTGTTTTTTGTCATCCAGGTCCTGTCCCTACCCCCTGCTTTAGCTGAGCACTCTTTCATGGTAAAGCAATGTTGACATATATATTCTGTCAGTCACAGCACATAGTATGTCTTAAAATGTATTTGTGAAATCATGGCAATGCCACAATAAATAAAATCTTGATATGAGGGTTTTCAAAATCAACAGTATAGTGTGACAAATACAAAGCTAAAGTAGAATGGCAGCTAATCAGTTATCTTAAGACAAAATTAAAGTGCATTCAGCTTTTTAACTTCACTTTTGTTGGATATAATTCAAGCAATAGAAGATATACAAGTACAAGTGGTGTATATATATATACACGGAAGTCTTTATGTAGGAAGTGTTTTGTGGCATTACAGAAATTCTAATTTCAAGAATGTCTGGAGATTTTGAAACACTGATTTCTGATGTTTTGAGAAGCTGGTTAAATCTTTCTGCTTCTGCTTAAAAGGTAATTTTTCAGTAGCACTGGAGAGAAGAAATAGCGTATGTATGATGATGACTTGTCAGGAAGGCATTGGAGTGCTTCACAGCCACCATGATATCAACAGAATTACAGATAGGAAAGAAGTTGTTTGAACAAGAAAAGGCAGGTGATCTTGGTTATATTTTCAGACATTACTTTAAAAGGTTTATCAACTTGGTGCCTTGGCTTCCATTTTTGAAACATTAAACTAATTTGTGAAGTGTTTTAAACACTTAGATCAAGCATCTCTCAGCCCCAATCCCTTACCCCAGAACCCGTCTAGAAAGTACCTTAGGTTGGCATTGACTGCTTGATTCAGCCTACAGTATATGTAGTATATATAGCATATGCAAGCAGCCACTAACAACTGAAGGTTTGAGGACCAAAGCTGAATTGTTCACTGCCAGATTATAACTTTCCTGAAAGCAGCGTCTGTAAGGGGACACCTTGGGACTATGTACATGTTTGGGGTTGAATTCTCACAACAAATGCTTAATTTTCTAGTCCTGTTAGAACAGGTCCCTATTAAACTCAGAAATGCAAAAAATGCATGTGTGAATTTGTGACTAGTAACTTGATTTTTTTTTAATCTCTTAGTTTCAGTATTCATCAGGATAATAGAGGAGGAATGACCATGAAGCCATGTACTGCAGTAAATTGGGACCAACAGAAAGACATAACCAACACCACCACAGAAGACCCAGAAACAAATCCCCTCCCTGCTTTAGACATTTCAAGTTAAAATAGAAATTTTTCTGCCTGTTATGTCTAAGAACCTTATGTGACCTAAAGGGTTTTATGTGGAAAGAGCTTTATTCGTCAGGGCTGAGAGATGACTAATAGCAGCAGAGTATATGGAACAGAGCATGGGCGAGACTGTGGCTTCTGAGAGAATTGTGTTGATGGGAAGGATAGTTTGGTCAGTGAGAAGAGCCTGGTCTGCTTTGTGCTGTGCTCCAGTGAACAAAAGGGACCAAAGAAATGGTGTCTGCAGGATGAGGGATGCTGCAACCTGTGTTGGAGTTCAGGTCCGGCCCTTCTGAAGTTGACCTCCAGTTCAGTACTTGCTGAGAAGCTGAGGCAAAGAAGTAAGGTTATTTTTGATACTGTAGCAGAGAGAAAGAGTGCTGCAGTTCATTTTTAACTACCTTAGGGTCTTGATATTGCTGCATAATGGAATAGATGTTTTAATATACTTCAGCCACTGCCTGCAGGCTGCTTGCTGTTGTCACTGAAGCCAAATTGCCTTCCTTCTTGCCCTGCTTCCCTTCTCCTTTCTTACAGCTCTTGCAGGCCTAATTAGAAGTGCTGGCTGCAAAAGCACTAATTGGGTGAGTGGGTTTGCAGGGACATGTATGTACGTTTTGTTCCTGGAAAGGACAGAAAGGAAATTATTTTCTTTTGTTTTACAAGTTTTGCCTAAAAGGGAACAAAGGAAAGAAATTATCTTCAGTTATGTAAGTTGCCTTTCTGCCACAATTCCTAGTTTGTGTTTCCCACGGTAACGGCATATTTGTTGTACAGTCTTGTTCTTGCAGAACAGGCATTACTGGAGTTAAGAGCACTGAAAAGAGTTTAAATTTTAATTTAAATTTTGGAATTAATCCTGGTTTAAGAGAGTTCATGATCTTTGTAGGTTGCTACCTGCAAGGGTTTGAACCACACGTTTACTAGCAAGAAGATGAATATAAAGTATGTTGCAACTCTGAGTTGATAATCAGATGTAACATTAGGAGTCTGCAGTGGGATGGGGTTAACTACATTTCTGTTTCTGAGCAGATGCTTAGTTGCAGTATGCATTATTAACTAAGGTAATGCAAATGCTTATGAAAGTTGTGCTGTGTACATTAATCACTGTGCATGCAACAGAAAATGTAGAAAATTAACATAACCAATCAAGACAAATTCAAGTATTTACTTGACTTGAGAAAAAAAAAGCAAGCCAGGAATTGAGTCTCTTGGTTATCAAAGGGTAGTAGAGGGAATGGGAAGAGCCTGCAAGATTTACCATTTAGGAGAACAGGAGACTCCTGTGCCTTATAAACAATGTCTGTGGAAGGAAGGAGCAGCACGGAGTACACTGTGAGCAGCATCCACTCTGTTTTGTATGAGAAAGGAGGCTCTGCACAGGAATGCTGAAGCCAGATGTATCAGGGGAGCCATAGCTGTAAGGAATTGACAGCTCAGTCTGACCCTGGGGAAACAGAAGTTGGCTGTTAATGGGGTAGAAGAAAGATTTGGGGTTTTTGAATGTATACTCAGAGAGGGAGGAAACCATTTTAAATATTTGCTGGGATTCATCTTTCATCTTGACTACCCTTGCAACAGCTATTTCATATAGAGTATATTCACACTGTAAAGTCTTACACTGCTCCCAAGAGGAGAGTTTTCCTGCTCTATTGTCTTCTATATAGATTAATGGGTAAAAGAAATACAAAGGAAGGGAAGGAGATCACCACACACAACACTGGAGTGTTGGTGAGCAAGAAGAGCTGCTGAGAACGGTTTCCTAGAACAGCACATTGCTTACACCTGAAGGTTGTGAAAGAACAGGAGAACTAAATGTGGAGCCCTGCAGGTCAGAGAGGGTTTTTAATAGGGCCTACCCTTCCTGGAACCTGTATTTGAATAATTCTCTCTTATTCAAAGTCACTTGAAAAAGGGAAAGGGAGAGGAATCCACTGGAAACAAACAAAATTCCCCAGGCTATGGTCAGGTTTGCATGGGGCTTGGGAAGGGGATCTCCCTGCATAGGACTTGCATTGCAGGGCACTTGTGAGGCTTCCTTTTGGAAACCAGAGACACACTTGTGAAGTGTGCTCAATGAGCTCAAGACACTAGCAGGGATGCAGAGGGATGGATTGTCTGCACCACCAAGTCCTCGATGAACTCTTAGGGAGCTCATGCCACAACCTTGAGTGCCTCATCCCTGTTAACAGTGCTGTGCCCATGCTGCAGCTGAAACTCTCCTCGTCTGGGAAAAACATTTTGTGACGGATTGAACAGTTTTACTAACCCACTTTTTAAACTCCAAATACTCCTGGCTCAAGAGGAGTAGAAGTAAGAGCTTTCCCTGCATATGCACCAGTGTGAGGTGGAACAAACCTGATGGGCCATCAGGATGAAAGGGGCAGGGTGCAATGTCTCCCTAAATAGGTTGCTCTGGCCAGAACCTTTAGGTGCAAAAGAATAATATCTCAAGAAATGAAATAGCTAGAAACCTTTGTAACATGCCTAAGAGGGTGGTTTTTATCTGAGGGCAGAAACGGGATTGCTTAGTGGGGGACTTCAAAGCCCCTTCCTTCCTAGGATGCCCAGCACTGTTAACCCCTTTCCAGATGGTATCCCAGGTGAGGGTGCTGTGCTAGGTATGCCCCACAATAGGCCACACCTGTAGACAGCAGCAACACTTATCTGTGTGTGCAGGTGCAGCCTATGCCTGCTGTCACAAGGCACTTGGAATGCAGATGCCCAGCCTTGCTCTGACACAGCCACCTCCCTGAGCCAGCTGGACACAGCCTCCATGTGGACATGCCATGCAGCCTGGGTGTGATTATAACCCATTTGTGTCTCGCTTGCTGACCTGGCAGGACCCCATGGAAAGTACATTTCTGACATATCAGTTGTACATCTAAATGCTCTAAGTGGATCCCAGGATGAAAAGGTGGTTCCTGCACTCCTTTAATAAGAATTTTGGAAAACTTGAGCGCAGTGCATCTTTCCTGTGAAGGCCATCCTCGTTCATCAGCCTTTACCCCCCATGGGTTCCTGATCCTGTCAGTGCTTCCTACAGATACTGTCTGCAGGACAGTCTTGCCCAACCCAGACTGGTTACCAAGCAGGAGCTAGAAGTAAGGAGGCTCCCTGGGAGAGTAATTGTTTTCAAATACAGATATGGTATCACCCAGTTACTGGGAGCTAGTGCTACAACTTTGTAGCTGAGGGCCCAGTTGTACCTCTGTATGCAAAAGCCCTGACTTTGCATGGGTGATTTCAAATCCTAAAGAGGGTGTGGTCTGTCCAGATTGGGCTTGTGTCCAGCTACAGCTGCATGAGCAAGCCTGCCATTCCAGTCTGCTGATCAAACTCCATGTTAAGGATGTGGGCTTAGGTAGGAAGCACTATGAGAAATCAACAGGGACATTTAGCTTTGCTACTGGACCAGAAAAGGGGCTTTGTTCTATGCCTGTTGCTTTTTAAAGGGAATAGTGGCAGGACAGTAGCATGCTACCATCATCTGAAAAGGACAAAGTTTAGTATGGCCCAGCTCAAACGACCAACACTGTGAGTGAGGAAACAGCTATTCCTTGGACTGCTTCTGACCATAGATGTAGCAGAGGCAGTTGAAGCAGAACCCAGACCAAAGGTACTCCAAAAAAAAAGCCCCAGAACGCTTAAAGCGTCAGCTTCTCAACTCCAGCTGCTTCACTCTGCTAATCCACTCTGCTGGGCCAGCCTAGTTGCTCAGGTGGATGTAACCACAGCTACCTATGACTAAACTAGGATTAAGTTAGAACAGTCTCTTGGCAGCAAAATCAGCTAGCACAACACCGACCCTTAAAGTTACCCGCTTCACAGGCCTTAAAGTTAGATTTCAAAGAGGCTGAATATTGCCTACAGAGTTAATCAATATTCAGGTTTTATTTACAAGAGGTCTGAGATTTATACAGCAAGATTTGCTAAACCTGCTGAAGGAGGTTCAGAATTAGATGGGTAAAGCAGATTCAAGAGCAGCACATGACTCAATAGCTTGATGACTGATGTAAAACTTTTGAAGTCATGTATAGACTGGCAGCTTTGTAGACCAGGTCTGAGGGGAGTATTGTGTCAGATATAGGAGAAGTGGTAGAGGTCCTGTTTGACAGCCATGAGTAAGCCAGGAACTCCTCGGCGACCCCCAAGTCTTGAAGAAAACACCACACTAGGAATGGCATCTTTGGATGATGGGTGGGGAGAAGGGATGGTTCTAAGCAGATGGGTGTCATGGAGACTCCAAATTCTGGTGTAGCAATCCTGACCAACTGGAAAGGAAACAACAAAATTCAGCATTACACAAAAATTACTTTACATGGCTCTGCAAGAGTATCACCACAGAAGCAGAAGGTCTATGGGGAAAACACCCTGACTATTTCTACACACACTAGATGCAAAGTGCTTATCTGTACTTTATGAAACAGAAATACTGCAAAAGTGGGAAAAATGTACATTTCCTATTAGGCAATTAAAGGTATGATAAATCAGTATTTAAAGTGCTTTCTCTTTATCAAGCTCCTAAGCAAAAAAAGGGGAGAAACATTCAGTCAAATTAAAAAATCTTCTCATTATTCTGCCACGTATTGACAAATCCAAGGAGAGAAGGTCACTCTCTTTACAGTGACCTTGTGAAACTTAGCTATACTATAAGGATTTAGGGATTTTGCTTCATTTATTGCTACTTTTCCTCCCCCCACCCCAAATATAATAATATTAAAAATATCTGACTGTAACCAAGTATATTCAAAATGAACCTGAGTGGTATAGACAGTTTACAAGGAGTCTGGCTTACATGCCAGTGCTTCA